AAGCTGTGACACGTGTTCTCACTCTTGACCAGTCTTTAAATTGATCATTGGAGTGTTAATTTTGACACCTTCTACCGAAGTGTTTCTTGTTCTAGGTATCGGAGCGAGAATTCGTCAAAAGTCTATTTGTGATGAAGGAATATTACAAAATCATCCCTCACAGTTCTATACAAACATAATTTTTATACAAAACTTCTTATAGAATAATGACATGACATTCTAATTAAAAACACTTGTCATTGTGCATTCTTATAATTAAAAGTAGGTCACTGTCACTGCCACGTCACGTACATTTTTAACATGCATCTAAGAAATGTAAAAATGTTACATGAAAGTGAATATAATAAACAATGTATAATATTCTTAAATCTCTTAACAATATTTTAAATTGCTCATATTAACAAAATTAAAACTAAATTAACAGCTTCTATATCACGATTTCGCTACAATAAAAATAAATTTAGAAAAAATATTTTAAGATGTTTAGGGTATGTTTGGTTTGAATTTGTAGAGTGATTTTAGAAAAAAATTTCTAAGAAATTTGTTTGGTTTGTAAATTTTTTAAAACAATTTTCAAAATCACTTTTTTTCTCTTACCTATCAATCAATCGTTTTTTCTCTCTCCTCTCTCATTCCCAATCACTTTTTCTCTCTCACACATTTACTTAATTATAACAAAATATCAAATCATTTCAAACTCTCAAATTTCAAAATTATTTTCAAAATACATAACCAAACAAACCAAAAAAATTTCTAAACTCTTTCCCCAAGTTTTTTTTCAAAAACAACTCTCCCAAAAACAAACATACCCTTAGAGATATGGATTGGATTTTTAGCTTTTAGCCGAGAGTTAAAAAGTCTTGTTCGGAATGAATGTTTTGATTTTTTTTTTACTTTTGTGAGAGAAAAAATAAAATTATTATGATTTGAATGACATATTTTGTCTTATTAACTTTTTTACTTATTTTGTCTTATTGACTTATTTTTACTTTATGCCAAACATGGCCTAAACTGTGTGCTTCAAACCAGCACGCCGCAATTGAGTATTAATAAATAAAATAAAATAAAATAAAGGACATTAAAATAGGTACTATTGTGGAAAACGATACGCATGCTTCATTACGTGTGTCATCTACATTTCCAAGAGTGTTACCTAATTACACGAGTCGAACTATTACCTTGTCCCAGTTCCAAAAAAAAAAAAAACAATTACCTTGTCGAATCAGATTTTTTATTTATTTATTGCTTTTTTAAGAGGGAGAGATGGGAATCATGAATTAGAATTTGAACAAGTTTTAATACAACTCAATTTAAAGTTTGGTTTGAATTTGCTAATTTAAAAGAGATGTAAAATTTTGATGAGTTTTAAACAAGTTGAACTGGAATTATTCATGAATATTACAGGCCATTTGCAACCTTACTTCCTATCTAATCATTTTAAATGCCAAAAAAAAATTAAAAAAATACATGAATTCGAAAATTTTCCGTTGATCACCACCATGCATGAAAACGGAGTTGGAAATCATCCTCTATAGTTTTCTTGGGAGAAAATTGTTGCAAATATTTTGGTTATTAAGACAAAAAAATTCAGGCTTTTGTAAATTTTTAACAGAAATACCAATCTTCAAGAACTATGAGGTGTGGAATAGTCTATTAGACAGTCGCTGGAGTTATGGGAAGATTATTCTCCTCCTGGAATCAGAATCATAATGTTTGCTACTTTTTATGTGTTGTATTTTTTTTTAATTTTTTAATTTTTGCTTTTGACATATAGTATGAGGGGTATTCTTTCTTACTAAGATAAGTTAGATATCTTGTTTTATTTCTCTTTGGAATGTGGAACCTTTTAACGCTTGGTTTTGTTAGGCTCTTTAATTGTGTCTGGAGTATTTTCATGCATTCTTTTTGTTACAATACACTACTTATTTACAAAAGAAAGAAAGCAAAAGTCCATTAATCATGATAACAATATACATAGGCTATTTTTGTTTTATTTTATTGGTCATTGTGGTATATACAACTTCACCGTTATTGTCAAATTATGATATTTGTAGCATATGATAAGTACCATATGCAACTTTATTTCCAAACGTCATAATTGAAGCATTTATTTCAGGAGAAGGTTTGTATTATAGATTTTTTTTTTCTTTTTTTTTTTGAGATTTGATTTTGGGATGCAATCCATAATTTAAAAGATGATGGATGTTAGAGACTTATAATTTATAATTTGTAATTCACTTACAATAACATGACAATTGCGTTGCATATTGCATAATTATATTTATGATAAATAAAAAAAATTAATATTTAACTTGTCATATTATTTAAATAAAATTTAAAAAAGAAAACTTTAAAAAAAAAGTCTTAATTTTTTTTTTCTTTAAAAAAGAAAAAAGTAAAAAGAAAAAAGAAAAAAGGAAAGCTTAAAAAGCAAGTAGGGAGAGAGAGCACTTAAAGCAAAAGAAAACAAAGGAGATATTCCTGTTCCAATATTTTTCAAGGCTGGCTCTCGATATGAAGATGCCCCGCGTGTGGGATCACAATTCTCTCTGCACTTTGCTCAGAGCATATTAGAGGATAAAAATATAAATTTTATTCAAAAAAAAATAAGGGCAAATTACATATACACCCCTCTAGGTTTGACAAAATTACAGATACCCCCCTGAGGTTTGAGAAATTACGAATTCCCCCCTGAATGCTATATTTGCATAAGAAATTAGGGGGTAATTTGTTATGAAATATAAATCTCAGGGGGTAAATTGTTATGAAAATACAAACCTCAGGGGGCGGGATGTAATTTCCGAAACCTCAGGGGTATCTGTAATTTAACCAAACCTGGAGGGGTGTATATGTAATTTGCCCAAAAAATAAATATAGAATATCTTATTATTCACTTAACTTCAACCACAATTCACCATTTTCATTGCCTTTGAAAATATTTTTATTAAAAAGTAAATACTTTTTGTCCATTGATAAATATTTAATTTCCAAATTTTTGTTAAATATATTTTTGGGTTGTTTAGGAGAAGTTATTCGTTGGTTTTGGTGCACAACCATGTGATACTCAAGGTCTGCTCTTATTGGTAGAGGGGATGGGACTACGATTTTATATTGAGTGATTGAAAAATATGAGGACACATGAGAATTTGTGATTAGCCTAAGATATGATCATGTGATGTCTTAGGATCAATCAATAATTTTTCGATATTTGGGATTTACTAATTTTCTACTCTTTTTGATTTTTTACAAAAAGATTTATAAAAATATTAGAGAAATGATATAACCCAAATAACCTCTTAATATTATACTATACTCATTTAAATGTATGATTTCACTTTTTTAATGATATCAATTTTATAAAAATTAAATTTGCATATTAAAAGTTATTTATAATACAATCAAAAATATAAGATGAATGGTTTTAAAGAGATTGTCCTCTATTTCTCATACTTCCTCAATATTTGGAGGATCAACCCATCCTCCTCTCAAATGGAGATGATTTTAGAGGATGAGATATAGAAGGTAGATTGGAGATGCTCTCATATAGACGACGAGAAGTATTGGGTAAATTATATTTTGATCTTTTTATATTTTGATTTTGAAGTCCATTAAAAATCATTGCAATTTATTTTATTTAAAAAAATTGATTTATTTTTTAAATAAGGTGGGGAGGTGGGCAATAAAGTCAGGGTTTTTTTTGATGAATCTTTAAAATTTATTTATTTTTTAATAATTTCTAATGGACTTATAAAAAGTTTGTGCATATAAAAAGAGATGGTAATTGGTTATTTAGTTGTTTTCATTAACGACATCCGGGCATGTGTCACATTTTAATAATTGAAGGGATTCATCGTACGCTTTTATCTGTTACGAAGGTAAAGTGATACCTCATAATTTAGGGATTAAAATAATATAGGGGTGTGAGACGTTTTGGTAATTAAATGTGTTATGTTAACACCGAAGTTTAACGGGATCAATAATTTAGGAGATCAGTTTATACGATTTTTTCTTTTTTAATTCAAGAGGTCAAAGTGATACTTGGCAATAGTTTATGAGAATTTTGTGTAAATAATCCTATATTTAATTTGAATTGACAAATAATTTAAGATAAATTACACTTTATGCTTTTATGTTTTATATTTTTTTTATTTTGGCTCTTAAAGGTTTTTTTTTTATTTTTTTATTTTAACCGTTCATGATTCAAGTTTTTTTAAATTTACTTCTAAAATTAATTTTCGTCCAAAATTAGACAAAAAATACTACATTAATAACCACGTGACTTAAAATATATTATTATATTTAATGTACGCCTCCAAGCTAAACTTAATAATTTTTAAATATAATAATTTTTTTTTACCACATATTTTCATCAAACACAAAAATAATAAATACTTTTTGGAGATGACACGCCATCCTAGTGTGACTAGCTTCTCCTTCTATAAAAAATTTGTAAATCTTTTGTTCCAGTACCCTCATGTGGCATGGGGCTACCAAACTAAAATAGTCACATAAAGATAAAATATGTTAAAAAATTAATAAGATAAAATTTCATATTTAAATCATAATTATTTTATTTTTTCTCTTATAAAAGTAAAAAAAAATTAAAAAATTTAATCAAAATGAGACTTTTTAGTCCTATGCTAAAATAATCAAAAAAATCAAAAAACTAATGCACTTCCCAAACGAAGCCAGTGTATTATTCAAATAATTCACCTTTTTAAATATGAAAATATCATTATTGTATGAAATGAATAAAAAATTTATAAATAAATGTATATTATTTTCTATGTATATTATTTAATTTTTTCTTATAAATGATCCATATGTAAAAAAAAAAAAAAAAAAAAAAAGCAAATGAAATGATTAAAGGGTATACAACCTGAAAAGAGGGTAAAATTTATCTGTATGATTTTTCACTGAAAAAGAGGGTAAAATTTAGAGAGATACATCACCTTCCTAGCTTTCATCTTTAATGCTCTTCACCTGTCCGCGACCCTCCCACCCCTTCCTTCCTCTCCCTCCCTAATCCCCACTAATGCTGACACCTTCCCGATGTCTATTTATTACGTTCCTCTCTGTGTCTCTCTCTCTCTCTCTCATATTTAGTGTTCATACATAAATTACACATCTAGTCTAGTATTAAAAGCAAAGCTTCTCTCTCTCACACACACGCACACCAACGATCCAATCTAGTTACCAACCATACTAAAACCTTACACGGTCCCTTTGCTACGTCCCATTTCCCCTTCGAAACATATCATGTCATATCATATCATATAGTTGAGTTTGAGTTTCCGTTCCCTTCCCTTCCCTTGCATTGCTGTGTTGTGTTGTGTTTTGTTTTGCAGCGCTACTTACTTAGTACTATTAGTAACTAAGCATACATCCATCCATCCGTCAACTAAAAAGGCAAACTAAATGGGTCCTTCACGTCCCTCCATCTTCTTGTTGCTGTTTTTGTCAATGGTAGTGCGTATGTCAGCCTCACTTGGTAGTTCTAGTTCTGATTTGGTTGAATCAGAATTCTTGAAGGTTCCAATTTCAGAGTTTGCAAATTCAGTGAGGTCCACCATCGACATGGTACAGCAGGTGGCCTCCCTCGTCTCCAGATCCGCCGGTGTATTCGGTGGTTTTCGCCTTTCTAATGCCATTGCCGACTGCCTTGATCTCCTCGATCTCTCCGCTGACGAATTGACCCGTACTCTCTCTGCTTCTCAGTCTCCCAATGGTACGTATGGTATTACTCCCTCCCTCTTCCTCATCCCTATTAACTACTCCTTTCTTTCTTTTATAATTAAGGCAACCATAGAGAAATTAACAGATTCTACTCCCGGTATTGCAATATAATCCTCTGCAATTGAGTGATACAATCGTTCAATACAACTATTATTTATTTATTTATTCATTTGCTCGCTAGCTTCTAGCCTCCTCTGTTCTCAGTGTCGGGTCTAGGATTTGATTTGAACTTTGGGGAGGGTAAAAACACATGTCATTGTCAACATAATTGAGAACAAAAATATAATTAGATGTAAGTGAAGTGTGATTTATAAAAGACGGAAAAAAAAACATAAACTACATATGAACCAAAAAAAATAAAAAAGAATAGTAACAAAAAAAAAAAACAAATAAAACAATATAAATAACTCTAAATAATATATAAATATAACAAATAAAATAAATTAATATTTAATAAAACTCAATTTAAAATTATTTTTTAAATTTTATAACGTAAATAATTTGGAGAGTACAAAATATTTCAATTTAAAATTATGTTACTAATTATTAGTATAATATATATAATTTTTAAAAATTTTGCACCCAGGCACACCTCCTATATCCATCCTTGTCTGCTCGGCTCTGCATGTGCTCGGTCTTTTACATTTTGTTCTCTAATTGGTTGCCCTGTTTTCTATCGTTTATTCTAGACCACACGGTGTTAATACTGAGCAAGGATCCTCTAGAGTGAAATTTTCTTAAAGTTTTCTAAAGTGCTACATTATGTGGTTGAGATTTACTGGCAAGTCACATCAGAAAAATTGATGTGACTTGTCAGTAAATTTCAACCACACAATATACCACTCTAGGAAACTTTAGGGAAAAATCACTCTAGAGGATCCTTGGTGGTTAATACTGGTATTGATGGTATTAAAAGAAAAAAACGTGCAAATTTGCAACATTTGTCCTTCCTTTATCCAATCTATGAGAGTCAACTGCCCAGTCACTTTCTTGATCCTCCGATTCGAAAATAGATGGATGTAGTGAGTTAGATGAACAGAGCAGAGCAGAGCAGAGCAAATTTGATTGTTAAAATTTGCAGGTAAACATAACAGCACAGGAAATCTAAGTGCGGATCTGAGGACATGGTTGAGCGGGGCACTAGGCAATCAAGACACGTGCATAGAAGGATTTGATGGTACCAATTCCATTGTCAAGAATTTGGTGGCTGGTAGCCTCAACCAACTCACCTCTTTAATCCAAGACATTCTCCTCCAGGTTCGCCCACTTCCCGATTTCAAAGCCAACAACCACAATGGTGGTGGTGGTGGTGGTGGTGGTGGTAGGAAGCTTAAGAACGACGACGACCCTTTTCCGTACTGGATCAAATCAAAGGATCGGAAACTCTTGCAATCAAGTACGAATGGGAATGGGGTGCTGGTGGCGGATGTGGTGGTGGCAGCAGATGGCAGTGGTAACTTCAGCAAGGTGATGGATGCAATATCCGCGGCACCAGAGTACAGCAGTCGCCGCTACGTCGTATATGTTAAGAAGGGGGTGTACAATGAGTATGTGGAGATCAGCAAGAAAAAATGGAACCTCATGATGATCGGAGATGGGATAGACGTCACCGTTATATCTGGCAACCGTAGTTTCATCGACGGTTGGACCACCTACCGTTCTGCAACATTCGGTAAGATACAATCCACCTTTACATATATAGTCGATGAGTTTCAGCATTCCCATAAAAACATTCACGCTACCGGTTCTTTTTCGACTATCCTAAGAAGAAGAAAAAGAAAAAGTGTACCATCAAAACATATGCAAGCTATCATTGGACAACCAAAAAACGTACATGATTTCCGCCATTTTTTTTTTTCCTTTCCCTCTAGTCTAGTCCATAAGAACATCTCCAACGGTAGTAGGCATTTTACCTATCTAAATATTACTATAAAGTATATATTTTATTTTGCCTATCAACTGTTTTATGTTTTTACTCCAACCATGCTCTTTATTTTAGCTATTTATCCAAATACTATTAATTTTATAGAATGCCACGTCAACAACAAAGATGGAGGGAAATGATCCTAATGATTGAATACATTTTGCTTAGCGTTGAAGGCTAGCTACATGTAGCTAGTGAATATGAGTTGAACCAAAATAGCTAATCATATGCCTAGTGCATTGGAATTGAAAAAAGTGAATCACACTAGGCATTTTAACTAACAAGTATTATATGCCTAGTGCATTTGAGATGCTCTAACATTGCTCGTTCTTTTTTGTTTAGTTAATTGGACTTGAAATCATTTTTAAGACATCATTCAATAGTACTTTTTTTTATTCTAGCCAGCAACTTCTAATAATTATTTTTAAATTTTTGAAGAAGAGAGAAATGGAGAAAGATGGAGATTATATATATATATATATATTTATTTAGCTAACAAGAATGGAGCTAGTTAAAATAAGAATTGGTATATGTAATCAATATTTATTACCATTTTGTATTACAGCCTACACAAATATTTTTAATTAGTTCTTTGTTCCAAATAATTAAAATAATATTTTGTCATGTACCTAGTATTATAAAAAAAAAAAATAATAAGAAAACAAATAATACATAACAATCACCTAGGTAAAACAGCTAAAAGAGTTCATTTAACTACCTTGGGCGAGATGTGTACTATTATACAAACAAATGGAAAGATTGACAAACTTGAGTTCCAATCTATTTATCTTATTGAGTCCTATTTAAATATTAAGATTTTGGCTATACAAGTTTGAGATTTGTATGTAATCTTTTTTTTCCCAAGAAAGCATAATTATACGTAATTAGCCATATAGAGTTTTGTGCTCCTATAAATCATGACAAGGTAATGGGTTCCTGTTATTTTACTAGTTTTTGGGCCCCCAATCTGGTATTCTGGCCTAACAAACGAACGTTTGAAAATCCATGTTCAATTCAATGCAACGGTGCAATATTAACGTGTTCGGTTTCCATATATTTGGTCACCTTAAATGTCGATACTGACATCTGACTTGACTTTATGACGAGGGAGTAAACATGTCAATCAATGGATTGCATTTAATTTGAATTCGTCCATAAAAATCCAATCTGATCCAATTCGATTTTTATATGTATATATAATAAGACAATTATATTTTAAAAATAATGGTAAAAAATAACCACTTTGAAGATACAATTGCAATTGGAGCTTTCCATATATTATATGCTAATGCTATGTAGAATGGAATACCCGCATCGCATCCAACTCTTGGGACAATTGGTAATTCAAGCTCTAATAATATAATACTAATCGGATCAGATGTGCTGCCATAAACTAATTTATTTTTATTTTGTTGGGGCGATCAGCTGTTAAAGGCCAAGGCTTCATAGCACGTGACATGACATTCGAGAACACGGCAGGACCACAGAAGCACCAAGCAGTGGCATTCCGATCAGACTCTGACTTGTCGGTTTTGTTTAGATGTGCTATAAGGGGATTCCAAGACACACTCTACGCACACTCCTTGCGCCAATTCTACAGAGAATGCCAGATCACCGGCACTGTGGATTTCATATTTGGCGATGGCACTGTCGTGTTCCAAAACTGCCAAATCCTAGCCAGGTTAGGCCTGCCTGATCAAAAGAACACCATAACCGCCCAGGGCCGTCAAGACCTAAGTCAGTCCACGGGCTTCTCTATCCAATTCTCCAACATATCTGCGGAGCCAGATTTGTTAACTTCATTGAACTCCACGTACACATACCTTGGACGACCGTGGAAGCTCTACTCGCGAACAGTCATCATGCAATCGTACATGAGCAACGCCATAAGGCAGGAAGGGTGGCTAGAGTGGAATGGGAATTTCGCGCTGGATACCCTCTTCTATGGTGAGTTTATGAACAATGGACCAGGGGCGGGACTGGGTAGCCGGGTCAAGTGGCCAGGTTTCCGACCCATGAATGACTCAGCTCAGGCCTACAACTTCACTGTGGGTCAATTCATTCTAGGAAATGATTGGTTGCCATCAACCGGTGTCAAGTATACTGCGGGATTGGGGGTTTAAATTCTTGTGCGTTCCTTCCTAGTAGAGCTGTTAAAATATTATAAGCATACCATAATTGCATTACTAATTGTTATAATTCTTGTGTGGTAAATTTTTATTGAGCACGATGGAGAATTGATTTGTGGTGACCATATTACATAACGTGTTGTATGGTACTACTAGTTATTTTGTTCATTTTGGGTAAAGATTGTGGTGTGCCCTTTGAAATTTGTAATTCCACAAAGTAAAAGAATTGGCTATTTTTTAACACTTGCACTCACAGCCGACACATCTAATGTCCGGCTGCTAAAGCCTAAACTGTTAGTGATAATGTTAGGAATAAATTTTGATGTATGTTACAAAACTTGTTAGGGAGAGAGAAAGAGAGGAATTTATTTTATTTATTATTTATATATTTTTAATACACACTTTAATACATTCATTGCATCACTATTTATTTTTTGAATAATAAATTCTTAATACATATTTTTTAATTTTTTATTATATAACACATTTAAACACGCACAAAATTAACATCCCCATTGGATTACAGCCCCCATGATGAAGGTTTGATGAGAATTTTTTTTTTTTTTTTTTGTAGGTAGAACTTGTCAGGTTGGCTGTGTGTCGGTTTACTATGGTGAACAGTTAAATGCTTATATAGCTCATAAAACAAAGGTTGCGATGGATAAATTGTAAAATATCATTGGATAAATATACAATCACTTAGTGCGAAGAATATTAGGTCAATTTAATAATTTATTTTTAAAATAGATGACTTATTCTCAATAACACATTTGTCATCTAACTTTTCGAAGATAAAATGAAAAAAAATTACGGTAATTGAATTAACTGAATTTTTTATATACACAATAGATTCTATAAAATGAATTCGCAATGAGACCCGTAATAAATTGCATGAGGGTGAACATGATCCTCAAATTTAAATTTAAATTTGGAAATAAGCCCCACTTATCATTACTATCTATACATAATTGATATGTGAATGTAAACTTTAAAGAAATAAGATGTAATATTTCTAAGTTATTGTAATTTAGGCTTGGTTTGGGATACACTAAATAATACAAAAAGTCAAAAAGTCACTATCCTATTTAAGTCACATCATCTTATTTAAATCATATCACCTCTCTAACACATCACATCAAACCCAACCCAAACCCAACCCATATAAGCCAATAAGTTAAAAAGTGCATTTTTTTAGAACATCTCAAACCAACCCTCAAGTTAGGAAATGTCAGCATAATTTATGCTCTATTTCTTTTAGTGAAAGGTGACTGTTGGTTTTGATAACAATAGGGGTTGGTTTAGTAGTAAGATTTTTAAATTTCTCACTCAAAGTTTAGGTTTGAGTCTCCATAACTCTTTATTAGGGTTAAACATACTTCTTAGCACTCAGAACATGCAGGGAGCCTCAGCTTCGGCTCCGACATAGGTGCGATGGGATTCTTTGCAGATGTGCTGTGGATTTAAAGGGGCAATACTCCTTGATGGGTGTATGGTTTACCCGATCTACATATCCATTTTATGAATAAATAAAAAAATTTAAAAAAAAAAAGAAAAGAAAAAAAGAAAGGGACCGATGGTTCTGATTGCAAGTTGCACTGAAAGGCCAAAGGAATTGTAACAATCCAGAAAATTAAGTTATTCCTTAAATTTTATATTAGTATTATCTAATTATAAATGAGAAGAATATAATTCTATATACAATTAATTGGAATCAAGGTGCAATTGGTATGTAATTTTATAATTAAGAAAAGTTAGGATCATAGTACAAATATTATATGTTGAGGTCATTGTTTAAGTTAATAGTGTAATTAATTTAATTTATGGGTCAAAATATAATAAGATATTTAATTTACTTGGGGTTAATCAAGTCTAGAAGTAAGATATATATTGAGTTGCTATGTGGCAAACGCTGCGTGACAAATGATCAATGGCGTAAGCTTTGCTTGCCATTCCTATAAATAGGAGATTGGTGAGAATGAATAAACACAAGCCAACAATAATAAACAACGAAAGTGAGAGAAGGAGGGGTAACAAGGAGGAAGGACTCAGAATGGCAAAAAAAATATAAGTGATATTAAGATAAGTTATAGTATATTTTGAGTCACCATAATATATTTTACTTATGTTTTGAATTATCATAATTTATTTTTGCGCAAATTGTGTTTTATAAATTATATTCACTGTGTTTGGTTTGAGTTTTCTGGATTAAGTTTTTTGAAAACTGAGTTTTTGGATTTTCGTGTTTTTTTGTTTTTAGTGAATATTTTTAAAATTTTAAACATTTTTTTTACTTTTTTAGATGCACCTTACTTAGATATGTCTAAACAGTAAAAAAATTATGAAAAAATATTTTAAATAAAAATATAAAAAATGTACTAAATTCTTGTATTTTTTTGTATTTTTGGTATTTAGTGAATTTTTAAAAGATTTTTTTTACAATTTTTTTTACTTTTTAGGTGTATTTATGTTAAGTGTGTCTAAAAAGTAAAAAAAAATTGCATAAAATATTAAAAAAATTCAGTAAAAACAAAAAAACACGAAAAATAAGAGTGTAGAATTTTCTGAAAACTGTTTTTAAAAAATGGGAACCAAGCAAAGTGATTGATATTTCAATTACGTTGATTATTTTTTGAATTCTATTTGCTTAACATGAAGCCCATGGATATGTATGTTTAAATCTTAATAATTATTTGACAATGATTTCATAAGTAATTATTTTCTGTAAGTACCATCACAGGAGTCTCATGTCTTGGGTGACTTAAATAACCATTGGCCTCTGTTTGACTGTTTTGTGGTCCTCTGTTTGTCATGGATCCATTGACCTCTATTCTGTTTGTCACTCTAGTGACCTCTGTTTTGTGTAGAGTAAAGTGTTGTGCGGAGCTAAGTGCTACACTATATGGAAGCCACCTCTAGAATCCGTACGAGCCACCTCTTGAATCTGTACCTCTGTATTGTCAAGAATCTATTGACCTCTATTCTGTTCTACACCGTGGTTATAGTTATATATATGACTTCTAAAACAAATTTCTGTTATAATATGAGCAACTTATTTACTCTAATAGAAAAGTATTCTATTTTATCTATTTTAAGTCTAAAGTTTGTCCATGGTAATTATGCTCTTAGTATAATATTCTCACTCTGTCATGTGTTTATAGTTGTTTACCAATTTTAAGGAAATAATGCAATTCAAAAATAGTTTTTGAAAAGTCTTAGACGCGGGGCTGTGGAATAAACACACATAGCACTTGTATAATATTTATAATTCTATTCTTCACATGTAAATATTGGCATTTTTGGTCAATGAATTTTTGTTATAAAAGTAGAAGCTCCGATGATTATTTTGGTACCGTCACTTAAATATTATTTTCACTCATGTTTATTAATTTATTCAAGAATTGGCCGTAAGTAACTTCAGTTACTGGGCATCACGATACTTAACCCTTGAGTACGGGGAGCCGGTCGTGACAAGAATGAGTGTTATAGTCAAAAGAATGTGAACAAAAGTAAAACTCAAGCCTTGTGTGGGGAGAGTGATTAAAAAAGTATTATAAATTGTCACTAGGAATGTAAAAATGGTCTGTGGGCTGCTCAAAACCCGCCTGCGATTTAGGTGGGCCTAACTTGGCTAAGCCTCACTAGGCTGGGGCTTCAGCCCGGCCTAGGACCCTAGGTCTGGGCCCTCAGTTTAAAAGCCCAGTTTGACCCATGCCAAAAAGAATTTGCTTCCTGTGAGTGAGTGGCCCAGCTCGACCTGAGACCTATCCACAACAGCTCTCTGGTCCCCCAAACTCCCAACGATTGAAAAAAAAATAAAAAATAAATAAAACAAAATAAAACAAAACACTTGCAACAGTCATGTAACCATTAATACATCTCAAAAGCTTTTTTCTTTTTTTGGTATAAATTCATCCTCCTCATTCCAAACTCCTATAAATACCACTCCTCTCGTATTTTATTTCTCACAAACAATTATCTCTCTCAAACTCTCAACTTTCTCAATTAATTTTGATGTCTCATACCTAAGTGGCAATTACAATTGTGCAAAAAGAAACTTTCATCAAAAGAATCTAATTTTTGTATCGCATTTACTAGTTGGTAACATTAATTATTTGAATTAAATTTATTATTTACTCATTTTGTTGCATTAATTATTTCTTAACATATATTAGTTGTTATTGTTTACTCATTATTTAAATTAATTGTTAGTTCTTATATATTGTTTTACTTACATTACTATAAATCCTAATATTTTTAATGTTTATGTCGATATTGATGTATATACTACATAACATGAATTTGTTGATTCTCCTTTTAATATACCTAATATTCATCTTCCAACAGTTGGATCGTCATCTAGTGACACGACTAGTAGTGTTTGAGATCATCTCAAAAAAATATCTATAAATAATCTTGATAGTACAAGTACATTTAAGGCAAAAATATAAATATTGTGTATATTTACTTAGTGCTGCATCTGCAAGAAGTTCAGTCATCTAACAAGACATGCTAACAAACATTTACAAAGTCAAAAATCTGATATTAGATGTCAAATGCAATTAAGCGTTTCATCGATTAGTTATTTGCAAATATTTTCATAGGATTCTATACGTGCACAAAATTCTATAGTTAATTATATTATTAAAAAAGAATAACATTTTATTACTAGTGAATGTCCTGATTTTTTACAAATGGCTCACTAAGGTTTTGCACTGCAATATCAAAATTTTTCAAGAAATACTACTAGAAACATGATTTTAAAGAAATTTAAGACTATTAAAAGTGAATTATTTGATCTCTTCAAAATTTTGAATGGTAGAGTTAATTTAATATCTAATATGTGGTCAAATAAATTAAAATACCAATGTATCACTACACATTTTATTGATAATGATTGGAAATTAAATAAAAGAATTATTTCATTTAGATTAGTTAAACTTTCATACACTGGTCATTCGCTTAGTGTAGAAATAAGAAATGTATTATATAAGTGGGCTTTGCAAAATGAAATATTTATCATTAGTTTAGATAATGTAACATATTACACTCAGGCTGTTACTCATTTGAAATGAACTTTACAATTATTGTTGATGGTCATTTATTTCATGTTTGTTGTTGTACTCATATTTTAAACTTCATTATTAAAGAAGCTATGTATGTATACGAGATTTATGTACTGGTAATAAAAAATACGGTTCTTACTATTATGTCTTCTATTAATCAAATTTCGGAATACAAAAA